GTCAGAAAGGAAATGAAACGGTGATTGAATACCGTAAACGATTTGAAGAATGCGCAACTACAGTATTATCTTTCATGGGTGATTCGTGGCTAGATGTGTTTGCCGCAAAAACGACCGCATATCATGAGATTGAAAACAATCACCCGACTAATGGCTTGTCGGATAGAGAAAAGAAGCGAGTTGCAGCAGAAGTCGAAGGACTTCAAGAAGAATTTCAGGACGAGTTTGTAAAGCTGTTCTGCGCTGCTGGATTGTTGCACAACTGTGATCGTGCACGATACCAGCCGGTACTTGATCATTTTGTTACTGCATACGCTGTGGAGCACGTGGATTATGCCCAGCGAGATTTGTTCCCGAGAGATGTGGAAACTGCAGCCAAGGCGCTACACAACCATCGGGTAAAGAAAACAACAACACCGAAACACAACAACAACAACAACACAAATGAAAAAACGAACACACCACAGAACGGTACCAACCTTGCACAGGATTACAGTAAGGGGAGTAAGCGTAAATGTTTTTGCTGTGGTAAGGCGGATCATGTTGCACCACGATGTGAACATCGATTCCGACCCAAGGAACAATGGAAAGATCCGACAAAGTGGAGATTGTATCCCAGGACAGAAGCGGGACGCGAACAGGTACACCTGCAGACAAGCACCGAGGAGGGATCTGTGCAGTCAAGTGTTACAGCAAACACCGCAGGTACACCCGCCAACAATGATGGCGGGATTTCTCAGCAGAACCATATGCAGACTGGTTCGGCTGACAGGAGTGGTGGACCACAGCCTCGAAAGCAGAAGATTGGCATTCAGGGGTGGAATATGGCGCAGTTTGGCGGACGGAAGAGAGAACCGCAGCCTATTTTAAGACCTTCAAGATTTGGGGCGTCACCACCACACGACGTAATGGCAAACTGGCAGGTACAATTGGATGCTGTCAGGGCAGCCGAAGAGGACATAAGTGTTGCAAGTACACAGAGCTCCAACGTACAGGTTGGCAGGGAAGTAGCTGTGATGCATTCCCAAGCTCA